GTATATTTCGTAAATTAATATCAGAATAAATATACTAAGGAGAAAGTTGGATGATCTATGATAGAAATCAAGGGTGGTTTAATATCTGATTTCTATTTTTATGGTTTTTTGGGGATAACTATCATACCCACAACCGGCTATGGACAGTGAGTGATAGTGGGATCTGGGATGTTGTGGGTTCTAGCACCCAGTTCCTAATCCCCCTTTTTTTCGGTTACATGCTGGCTAGCTCTGCATCTGTTTTTCTGATTATGGCTGATAGATGGAATATCCCCAATGCTTCTGGGAGCTATTACCGCAGACATTTTCACTTTAAAAATGATACATTTGTACAAGCGGTATAATTTTACATTGTTATATTAGAACTTTGTTGACACGTTCGCTTACTTGTTAGTGCATACATCTACATGTACAATAAATAAATTGTAGGTTATATCATATTTTCGTCAGAGCTATACAGTGCTGAGTGATCGCCTGTATGCTTTTGATGTAATACAGTTTAATTGAAAAACTGCATATATATATATATACACTACTATTTATAAATAAATTCTTAAATTTCAGTTATTTTTCTTAAACTTAGTAAAGTAAATACAAAAATATATATGGAAAACAATGATCTCTATTACTTATGATGTTATGAAGTTTCTTTGTACTCGTGTGTTGTACTTACTAAGCCTTTTTGAATTTCACACATGGAGGATGTAAAAAAAAAATTTTTGTATGTTTTATATAGTCATTATAAAAAATTATAAATTACTATACCAATACCACAAAATTCTACTGTAATTTATCAGCCTTCCTAACTAAGATGTATTCAGGTCTAAATCTCATTTTGGATCACCATGTCACCTTGACACCACTCTTCAAACTTGCAACAGAAATTACAGCTTTACCCATGTAAGTATTTTAGGATGACTGGCAGAATTACATAGTTCAAAATGAGCGCTTTCAATTGGTTATAAATATGTAATTGAGAGAAGTGGGCATAAGTAAACAAGTATTTCCAAAAGAGGAAGAGGTGGGTGGAGCCACTGTGGTGGATTAGCTAAATATAATGATATCTGATCCATACAAGTAGGGAAAGTGATACATAAAAACTTACCAGGTGGGATTGAGATGGTCTTTCCATTTAACTTATATGATACTCCAATCTTGATTGTATCAAGTACATCAAGAATATCCAGCTTTGTAAGAGCAATCCTACAAAAAGAAATGTTAAAATAATATCATACAAGGATGTATAAATAGCTAATGGAAGATGTACATCTGTATTCTTGCACAAAAAACATTGTCATAACAGGAAAATGTCATTTACCAGTTCAACACTTGCATAAACTCGCAACTTTTGTTTACAACTGATTGTGAAGAAAAAATTAAATTAAATTAATTCTTTTTGAAGAACAACAGCTTAACTGATATTTTCTCTGCTAGAAACAAGAAAGATACTAAAATACAAGAAAAATAGCCATACATAAAAGTTTAGTCTTTTCATGACAATAAATTTCTATGCTCTTTTTAAAGCTAAAATTCACAACATGATCACTTTTTACTTTTGTAATACGCATAGTTTCTAGTATTCTAATGTTTTGGTTCTCAAACTAAAATATATAATGGAAATTATTTTGTATGTAACAATTCAATATTTTTTTCCCCACAATTTCAACTGTGAAACTTACGCTGAATAGCCATTTACCATACTGGAATATCTCAACACTACCATATCTAACCATCCACAGCGTCGTTTTCTTTTTGTAGTAACTCCTATCTCTTGTCCTCTTTGTTGAAACACTTCCCCCAAACCCTATGAAACATATGTTGTTAAAATGCATATACTAAAACCTTCTAGTTTTGTATTACAAGTTGTCTAATGTAATGAAGTATATGATTTATTTACCATAACAAAGCTAACATATCTCTAACATGTACTTATTTATCATTTGTAAATTGACACCATTGCATGTTACAGATCTTTTGTGATTTTGAAATTCTACAGATGTTAACAGCAAAATAGTAGAGAAAATAACAGATAAAATATAAAGTTTTACTGAAAAACAAACGTTTGAAATGTATTTAGGAGATTTTAGGGATTACACAAATGAAATTTAAGATTTTTGAGATGAAGTATTTTTAATCTTAACATGAAAATTACTTTGCACAATATGTTCATGGACAAATCTTTATTTTAGTTTTATAAAAATACTTCCTTGAAAAATATGATTTTTTGTTTGTTAAAGACTTATGTTAACTGAAAGACTGCTAACTTTTGTGAAGATATCCACATTATATTGAAAGTTAAATGTACTAAATCTATAAAAACTTTAAATGAGTACAAAGAAGTCATATGGTTGGTCAAATTGACTGAGCCTGTGTTGAGAGAGCTAAATTCCTTTACTATCAATGTATGTGAATTAAATTGACTTTATAACGTAAGTTATGATTCAAAGTTTGTTATCTAACTTTTAGGTCATTTCAAAAGAAACCTGAAAAAACTACTTTAACTGCAGATGTATTGCTATGTGACCAACAAGCTATGAAAATTCTCTATACAATAATTAATAATACAATGGTAGTTGAGTAGAGTATGTCTAGACAATAAGATGCTTATCTAAACTTTTGACTCATTCATTTCAAAGTTCTCTGAATGAATACAGTTAAAACAATAATTTTTTTTTCAACTTCTGACAGTTGCCACACCCACCTTCAACAGATTTGTTTGAGCTTTATAGCCTATATGTAGATGTTGCATACACATGTATAATCATTAGAAAGAGCTAATTTTCACTATAATATTACAATAGTTATTTTGAAATTGGTGCTAAGTTGTTGTCACAGGGTACATGTAACTGATTATAGTATTGTTGGCTGCTTGATCAACTCTAGTGCTTAAGGTTGTTTCTTACCTAAATATGTTATAGTTAGAGATAAAGTTTAAATTGTATTTAGGTCTTACTATTATATTTTAATTAATTATGTACTAGTTATGTTTTAAAATGCATAATTGAAAGGTTTAAGCATTTTTAAATACACATCATAGTTTGCATCAGTTCTCACTTTTGACGATATTACATGCTGAACAGAAATTTGCTGAAGGGTTGTGCATGTCTCTCAAAGAAACTAATATGCCTTGAGGGCACCGCTAACTTGTGTTGGGATGAATAACAATAATATGTGAAAAAGAAAAGACCCAAAATTATGAATATAAGTAAAACAACATATTTAAAGATATTCTACAAAAAGTAAAATGTATTTTTTTTCCTAACTTTAATCATTTCATTGCATTGTATATTGATGATAATATCTAGAGTTAGTGACATGGTAAAGAAAATGAAAAATAAAATATAAATATTTACCTTACAAACTTTTGATATTCATTTAGGAGGTTCTAGAGGTTATGGAAATGAAATATGAAAACTATAAGATGACAAAAAGTATCTCCATACTTAACATGAAAATTGCCTTGCACTTGGAACAATTTTAACAGTGAGTGCAAATAACAAGTAAAGATAAATAACATTTTCATTAGAAAGATGTAATTAGAATGATGTCATTTCTTGTGTACAAAATACTTATAAACTTTAACAAAATTTAATGAGGTTTCGTAAGGAACACACAGAGTTACCACATTTTTATTGCATAAATGTCCTTCCCTCGTCAAGTGAATGGTAATTTCATCCACTCGTTTTTAATGGGTTAACTGCAACATAATTCTCTATGTAAAAAACTGTACAGTACTTGAACTGTATAGCATTTTAAATCCAATATTTTTCTTCATAATGTAAACATACAAAACTATTGAGAAGTAAGTCCCAAACTTACATCCTTCAATTCAGTTGGAAATGGTCCATCTCCTACACGGGTACAGTATGCTTTCACCACTCCATAAACTTCCCCAATATACCGCGGTGGGATCCCTAGTCCTGTACAAACACCTCCTACAGTGCAGTTGGATGATGTAACATATGGATATGTACCTTGAAAACAAAAGTTTTGTCAGATTATTAAATGTTTTTTAAAACTGTTCTCTATCCATAATTTCAAAAACAACACAGTAAGTTAAACTAGTCATCTTACAACCTTACTCCTGTACACTTAAGTTCAAATGAGCAAGAAAAACAAGTTTCTTTCAATACTTAAAAATTAAGTTTGTACTTTTAAGATAGGTTATAAAACTAAATGCAGTTTGCAAATAAAGAACAGAACTGTAAGATCAGCAGCATATATTTATGTTCAAAACTAGTTTTTTAACAAAGACTTGTTGACATTCCATACCTTTTCAACATTTATACAAAACGTCCATTTAAAGTCATATTTCAACAATAATGATTTGAAACTACAGCAAACTAAAATAAAGTGATTAAAAACTTAATCAACTACATCTAGAAAAAAAATGCAAATATCAATTTAAAAAATACCCTAATTTTTGTGAAAAAAGAACAGTACAAGCCCATAACTGTACTTACTTATTTAGTGTGCCATTAAAATCAATATCTTCCAAGAAGTTAACATTTTCCTTACCTGAAAATGTATTTCAAATAGGTACCTTACTGCCCAACAAAGAGTTATTAACTTGCAAGAAGATTTTGAACATACCACAAGTCTTGAACAAAACTCCCACCCCTATGTGCATTAAAATGGATAGTGCCAGTCGTCACAAGACTATAGCCCTCCACCACAAGAAAGGAAACACATCCTCCAGGTACAATAATATCCATGAGCACTAGACTCTAAACAAAGACTCATTCTTGATGAGGAAAAAACCCATCACCACAAGTAGGAAAAAAGATGGGAGGTTATGCAGAGAAATGAATATCTGAAGTATTTCAAGTACAAAAAACATTAACTTCAGAAATGTTTGCTCACCTCTCTGCATAACAAAGAGCTAGAATCCCACAATGACAAGATGGTGGAATTGCCAGTACAGTTAATGAATTACAAATATGAGGTCCTTTCTAAAACCATGATGTCAGAAATTGAATACCCTATGTAGCTTGTCACTCACTAGAGGGAGTGGTAGCTTTATGAGGTATCATGAAGTATGAGACCACATCCTTGTCATGCATTAAGGATGAAAGAGCAAATTATAGTCAAAAGAATCTTCTGTGTGGTACTATGTTGGGTGGGTGAAATAAAAGATCAATCAGCCAGCCATTATCTCTCAGGCAGTCAGCTGAGCATAAGTGCAGTGTAGCTACTGTAATAAGTCAGGTGGCACTGTATTTGAGAAATACTTGAGTGAGATACCTACCAGAATAATCAGGTTTACAGAAAAAGAAAACCAGATCTGCATCCCAAGGAGAAATGCAAGATCCATCTGGCTGGCCTAATCACCAGAAATGGCTTGGTTCATAGTGTGCTAAATTTCTAGAAACACTCCAGCCATTCAGAGATGCTTCCACTTGGTCTTATACCAGTAGGATTACACTCTCCCAATGGGGAACTTTCCATATTGACCTTCCCAGCAGCTTAGAAATGGAGAAGCAAGGGTTCTCCCTTACTCCAGTAGAAGAAAATAGGGATGGGGAGACAATTAGCATGTGAGAGAGCCTTAGAGAGGTGCTCCAACCAAACAGGAATCTGAGTAAGATTCCAAACTGGTAAACTGCAAAGGGTTACCACGAATAGGGACAGCAGGTGCTAGCCAGGCACACACCTGGTACTGGCTTCTTTTTGTCCTTTTGAAACACAGTCTGGAAGGTAAAATATACAAATACTGCAAAAGTAGTCTTGCAATAAACCCATCTCAACAGTGGGCACTGGGAAAAGGGGTAGATGGACTTAACAGTTTTTTTGTACCCCACTCAATACAGATTTTGAGAGAGAGAGAAACATATTCCCTGAGAGACATCAATGGCTTAAAGGCAGGGTTCATTCATCTCAAGTATATATATACACACACATCAATATACAATATTTGCTAGGAGGGATATGTCAAAAAACTAATTTAAAAAACCAGAAGACAACTCATCTTGCTAGTCTCTGGGAAGACTGGAGAATGGTAATTGGAAGGAAACCCAGATGCAGATATAATCCATCTTGTGTTGTAAATAATGGGACATAAATGTGTTAGGGGCTGTACACATCCCTACCTGTAATATCAAATCCAGACTTGATGGGAGGTGAATCAAAAAGTTGACAGTATATCATGGAACAATAAACAAGCCAGATTAATTTTCAGCCTAACAAGTAAAAGTAGAAAGGAGTATGGTAAGAGAAAAAGATGAATCCCATAGAAAGAAATGATGAAAAACAACTGCCATGTATGAGAGCAGTACAAGTGAGGTAACACAAAACCAATCAAACAGGCCACAAGAAGACAATTAGCATAACAATAATCATACAGAGAAGAAATGGAAGGGAGAGTGATTGGAAAAAACATCCAATCACCCCTCCTAGGCAGCCCAGGTGCAGTCTAGGAATAAAATCAACCTATCCCTGTGATAAATAAATCAGGAGGCAACTAAGATAAAAATGTCTGACTGAACTAGTCCAGATTGAGAGCATCCATGCCAAAGCTTGAAACTCCTGATACATGATAGATTAACAATTGAACATCAGAGTTACGAACCCAAAAGAGAAAGTCAAGAACAAGGTAACAGAGGTCTAGAGAGCAAATGCCTCATTGCCTGTAAATAGAAAGAACAACAGAGGAGGTGGCCATACGGAAGAAAATAAGAAGACAAAACATACAAGTCAAAAGATGAAGGCATGCTCGTTTGGCAGCCAACATCTTCAGGACATTGATGAAGAGACTGCTCCTCTGGAGACTAGAGATCTAAAATGTAGAAGGTGCACAGAACTGCTTTCCACCTGAAAAAAGGCATTAACTCTCTACATGGGCTCAGTCAAATTGACTGACTACATGACCACTTTGTACTCGTTATAGTTTTGATACTACCATCTTTTAATATAGTATGTGTATCTTCACAAAAACTGGCAGACTTTCAGTCTTTTACACACAAAAAATCAGATTTTTAGTGAAGTATTTTTAATAAAGATTTGTCTGTGAATATATTGTTTTTTTATTAGTCCAAGAGCAAAGTTATTTTCATGTAAAAGTACTTTTCTTCATATCAAAAATCTAAAATTTCCTTTGCATAAACTCTAAAACCTCCTAAATACATTTCAAACGTTTTCTATCTGTTATTTTCCCTACCCTAACTCTATACAAGGTTGGCCGATTTGACCGACCTCATAACCAACTAAAAAAATAAAATAATCAAAATAAATCTGAATTACATTTTTCTTTCTAGAATGACTTCAAATTGTAACATGAAACAACATTTGTCTATCCTAAGTAGCTTTAAACTTGTAACATTATACATCTATTTATACTTAAATTTTATTGCCCTTTGAAAAATGTTTAACTACTATTATAATGTGAGCTGCACATTTCCCAAATGATTTATAACTTATAATGGCATGATATATTATTATTTATCTTACCTTAACTAACCTAAATATTTTCCTATTTTAACAACTTAGGTATTTTTATAATAATAAAGGATACACAAGAAAAACAAGAAACAAATTACCTGGGCCTTCTCTTTCTTTGCTGTTGACTGTCGATGACACTTAACCTTACATTTTTATACTCATGGTACAACTGCACTTAAATTTTTTTTTTTATTCTAATTAAGTAATGCACTAAAGAACACTGAATAATCGCATCCCAAAAGCAGACAATGTCCCATAATTATCACAATTTTTCTGGCTTTCTATCTATGCGACAAGATCTGTTACAAATTCATCAAAGATGGTCGATATGTTTCCTGTGGGAACAAAGCTTGTACTACACGAAATATTGACAATTTCCTGTACAGAAAACAATGTAATATAATATGTCATTGGATAAATGAAAACCTTGGTTTTTCTATTGGTTATAAATAATATTGTATTAAATGTAAGATAGAACTATTAACAAATCAAATCCTCAAAGAGAGGATGAGACAGCTGGGTGTGGCAAGAGGGGTCTGATTTCCTATTTGATGCTTCTGTAACCAGACAAGATTGAAGGCTATGAAAATTATGCTTCGTCTGAGTAATGACGATATTACAGTGAGTAATTTATGTTCAATTTCGTACTTATTGGAGGGGTGGTGAATAAATAAGGGAAATTTAGGATTGTTTTAAATACTCCCTTATAAAACTTATATAATATTAAAATATTGATTATTAGCTATGATTTTATGCTACATTAATTGGTATAACAAAAAGTACCTTAAATTTTGTATGTAGCTCAATGAAATCCTTTTGACATGTGCAGTAAAAGATGCCCATGGGGAGAGGGTTAGGTGAGAGGTTGTTTGTAGGTCTGTGCCACTCATACTGAGCTCCCCACAGGTATGACTACAGATGTATTACTTAGGCAACTTGGAGGTTTCAAACAGATTGAAGTCTAGTCAAGGTGGAGGAAGAGGGATGCTTATAGTTGTAAGAGATAAAATTAGTCACTATGACAGGAAAAGGTGAAAAGAAGGAAGGAGAAATATGAGAGAAGACAACAGATCTTTGGATATATGGCACTAATCAGCCAAAGTCCATTGAAGGGGATGCATACTAGTACATCTAAAGAGGAACAATGGACTTAAGGAAGAACAAGTCCACAATAAAACAGGCAAATCCTATTGCACATGAAAATAAGGAGACACAAGGAATCAGAAGCTCTATGTCTTGAAGACAAAGGAGAAGGCTATGCCTTCCCAGCATACAAATAAAGAAAACCTTTCAAGGAAATGAGAAACTGGGCAGAAGGCCAAAATGTAATTGGACAGCAAGACCACACACTTCAAATGAGATAGCTTCCAAAGGAGAAGGGAATCACAGCAGTGGATTCCACTTTAAATGGAGCAATTAGAGGCAAAACACCTGTAGAGTAGTGAAACAGCAGGCCTGAAGAATGTAACCTCTGAGAAAAAGTCCACCAGACCCAGATGAAAGACATATGGGATCACAGCCAGCCCAAAAGGAAGGACTGTGAATATTCTACCACTGTGGATGAGCCAAAGGAAACAAAAGCTGGACTAATATATCAGGATGTGGAAAAAGCATATGAGACATCAATCCTTGTTTTCCACATTCCATGAGAATAACCATCTCAAAGTGGGTTAAGCATCCATTTTGAACTGGGAAACAACCAAACTACATTCAAGTGGGCCAGATCTACAACAGATTTTCACATTCCTCCTATTTTAGAATAACAAAAAGATGGGAGTAAAACCTTAGTGGTGTCAAGAAATTGGTCCATGGCATTCAAATTTGGTGATACAGAGAGGAAAAACCCCTGAGAAACCTAGTCATTTGAGGCAACAGGAGTCAAAAGGTATATACAGTGAGACAGCCAAGCTCCTACTGGACCAGGAATGACGAGCAGCTCTAATAGGAGACACTGGATAGGAACAAGAGGACTACAGAGAATGAGAAACCTGGTGGGGACCCGTGGTCCATAACATCAAGAAACTAAATTGAGCAAAGGCAATTGCTGATGAGCTGCTTGAACTCAAAATTCTGAAGCATAAGAAACACCATGGATGCATGGATAAATATTATATTGTATTATCACTTGAAATACAACATTAGTGGCATTTAGATAAATGAAACCCGAGTTAGTTGCTATAGCAACGAGATGGAATATACTACTTGAATTGGTTTTATTGATCTATTTTGCATCCTGATATTTCCACGATATTTGAGTAAATGAGTCTCTAATATAGCATAATCGAGTTGATTTCTGAAATACTGAATAATGAAGTATATGATTTAGTTACCATAACTCAACAAAAAACAAAGCTAACATATCTCTAACATGTACTTATTTATAATTTGTAAATTGACACTATTGCATGTTACAGATCTTTTGTGATTTTGAAATTCTACAAAAGTTAACAGCCACCTAGTGGTGGTAGAGTCCACTCAAGCAGGACATGCAAATTTATAGAAAACAAAACTTTTGTTCTTAGATACCTTATCTTTAATGTTTTATTTTTACAATAGACATTGGATTTCTACCTGTGAATAAACACTACCTAAGGTCAGTCAAATTGTCCAACCTTGTATGGAGTTAGGGTAGAGAAAATAACAGATAAAATATAAAGTTTTACTGAAAAACAAACGTTTGAAATGTATTTAGGAGATTTTAGGGATTACACAAATGAAATTTAAGATTTTTGAGATGAAGAAAAGTATTTTTAATCTTAACATGAAAATTACTTTGCACAATATGTTCATGGACAAATCTTTATTTTAGTTTTATAAAAATACTTCCTTGAAAAATATGATTTTTTGTTTGTGAAAGACTTATGTTAACTGAAAGACTGCTAACTTTTGTGAAGATATCCACATTATATTGAAAGTTAAATGTACTAAATCTATAAAAACTTTAAATGAGTACAAAGAAGTCATATGGTTGGTCAAATTGACTGAGCTTGTGTTGAGAGAGCTAAATAAAACTTTTTATACAATTTCGTTTTTTTTTGGGGGGGGGGGGTACAAGGTCAGTCAAATTGTCCAACCTTGTATAGAGTTAGGGTAGAGAAAATAACAAATAAAATATAAAGTTTTACTGAAAACAAATGTTTGAAATGTATTTAGGAGGTTTTAAAGATTACACAAAAGAAATTTGAGATTTTTGGGAAGAAGAATAGTATTTTTAATCATAATATGAAAATCACTTCCACTCGGACTAGTAATAAAATAGATTCAATATATTCACAAACAAATATTTAGTAAAAATACTTCATTAAAAAATAAAATTTTTTGTGTACAAAAGACTTGTAACGTTTACTAAAGGTGCACCAAATTTTGTGAACATGTACATACTGAATTAAGTTATAGTATAGATACTTAACGTGTGCAAACATGTCTAAGAATTCATGTATATTTTCCCAAGCCCATCACGAAAGATTTAAAAGTAAATACTAAACAGAAGATAATTCAAATCAAAGTTCTAACCGACATGTATAAAAAATTTGGGATCTTTCTTGTAACTAAAAACTAAGGAAAGAAGGACTACACTCCAAATGGTAATGGAATTTGAAAATATCAAGAACAAAAATTTCATTAATTCCGAGTAAAAAAAAACATTTTAACAAAGATGTGCAGAGGAAAAGAATGAGCTTTTGTTAAAATGCCAGTGCTCACATAAGCTGGCACTGTCCACCTTCACATATGTAGAGGTGGGAGCTTCATCCAAGGCTTGAGGCCTGTATTAAAATTTTCTCAGCAGTAACACAAGATAATATCTTTGTTGTCCACAGATGAGAGTAAACATTTCTGAAAAATGCATTTATGAAAACATAGAAGTGATATATGACAATCAATGGTAAAAACTGATAATGAGAGAGCAGTAACAACTAAAAACTCATTAGAGTAGT